TTCGGATGTTTTCAAATGTGCAAAACATTAAAATCTAACTTTTTCAAATGCTTTCAACCATACAACACATTAGAATTACAAACATGATTTTGTAAACAGTACACACCATTGTTGTTAGATAACGTTATAGAAATGCATACATAATAGACATAGCTAAAGCTCCCGTTCCCCACCAGTCAGTTAACTGACCTTAGCTAACCTAATATCATTGTAGCAACTCTCTATGCGGCATTGGAACCATGCCATCAGCGCGCTAAGAGTTATTAGACTACTGACATAGGCGCCAATTCGTGGATGACGAGGCACTAGGTGACGTTACAGCGAACTTGACGATTGTTGTATCATTTTTTAACGTACTACCAGACAATGATGCGTAGTGTTTACATGATCAAGTTTCCAACTCTACTACAATCTACAATCTACAATCAACTGGAAATCGATATCCGACGCCATTTTTAAATCAAATATGGGATATATTGTCATATACCGTTGATACCATTGACATCGATATGGGTATTTTTGGAATCGGGGTGACGTGTAGATATAGGAAATCGATATCCGACGCTACTTTGAAATCCAAGGTGGAGGATTCCTGTTGCAGAAAAAGTGTCAAATATCCATAAATATGGGTATTTTTAGAATCGGGCTAATGACTAAAGGCCGCTAATCAATATCCGATAAGTTTTTGAAATTAAAGATGGCGGCTTCTGGTTTTAGAAAAATTGGAAATGCTGTCAATTATCTATAAAATGGGTATTTTTGGGATCGGGTGACGTCTAGAGATTGGAAATAGGCATACGACGCCATTTTGAATTCCGAGATCCAAGAAGAGATTGGGAATTACTATCAAATATCAATCAATATGGGATTTTTTTGAAGGTTTTTGGAGGTTGTCTAGGTCGTCTAGAGAAAATCGATATCCGATGCCATTTTGAAATCAAATGTGGCGGCTTCCAGTTTCATAAAAAGTGAAAAATAATTTCAAAAGTCCATAAATATGGGTATTTTTGGAATTTGGGTCACGAATAGAGGCCAAAAATCAATTTTAACATAACTTTAACCTAAAATTTACTTCCCAACAAACAATTGCCTATTGAAGAAACGACTTCTTGACTATTTTATATCACTTCATGCATAATAATACTTGTACTATTTTAAATATTAATGTTCACACAAATCTGGACAACATCGAAGTATTTGGTGTTGAATAAGGTATGTCGAGAAGCTTTTCTTCGACTTACAAAAATTGTAACAGAGCTTATTCGATCAAATTTTTGATTATTCAGCGTTAATTAGACATCATTACTTCCTTAAACAGGTGTATATAAAGGTGTATATAGACGCTTGATTACTATGTGAAATAATGTTTCATTAGACACTATTCTACATTTATTAAACGATTATTAAATTACGGGATAATTCAACTTAAACTTAACTTAAACTTAAGTTAAACTTAACTTAACTTCAACTAAATTTTAACTTAACTTTAAATAAACTTTAACATAACCTTTACTTAACTTTGACTTAATTTTAACATAACTTAAATTTTAACATAACTTTAACCTAACTTTAACTTAACTTTAACTTAACTTTAAATTTTAACTTAAATTAAACATAACTTTAACATTAACATGACTTTAACTTAAACCGAACATTAACTTAACATATCTTTAACTTAACTTTAACTTAACTTAATTTTAACTTAAATTTAACATTACTTTATCCTAAAATTAACTGAACTTTAACTTTCACTTAACTTTAACTTAACTTTAACTTAACTTAACTCAACTTTAACTCAACTTTAACTTAACTTTAACTCAATTTTTACTTAACTTTAACTTAACTTTAACTCAACTTTAACTTAACTTTAACTTAACTTTAACTTAACTTTAACTTAACTTTAACTTAACTTTAACTTAACTTTAACTTAACTTTAACTGAACTTTAACTTAACTTTAACTTAATTTTAACTTAATTTAATTCAACTTTAACTCAACTTTAACTTAACTTTAACTTAACTTTAACTTAACTTTAACATAACTTTAACTTAACTTTAACTTAACTTTAACTTAATTTTAACTGAACTTTGACTGAACTTTAACTTAACTTTAACTCAACTTTAACTTAACTTTAACTTAACTTTAACTTCATTTTAACTTAACTTTAACTTAACTTTAACTTAACTTTAACTTAACTTTAACTTAACTTAACTTAACTTTTACTTAATTTCAACTCAATTTTATCTCTACGTTAACGTAACTTTAACTTTACTTTAAACTAATTACTTACTTTACTTTGATTTTATTAGAACTTAAACCGAGTTTATCTTTAAATAAAAATTTATTTAGTTTTATTTAACTTCAACTCATTAATTTACCATAAACTTGAATTAAATTTAACGTAAATTTAAGTAACGCTAAATATAACATAAAACTAGCAAAACTTTAACTTATTTTAACATAAATTTAATTAACCTTATCTAATTCATTAAAAATAAAACTAACTTAACTTTGACTTAACTTTAACTTTACTTCAACTTAACTTTAACTTTACTTCAACTTAACTTTAACTTTACTTTAACTTAACTTTAACTAACCTTTAATTTGACTTTTACTTAACTTTGAACTAATTTATTATATAACTTCGTTTTTATTTTGACTTAACTTGAGTTTATCTTTAAATAAACTTAATTTAGTTTTATAAAACTTCAACTCATTAATTTATCTTAACATTGAATTAACTTTAACATAACATAGTTAAACCTTACCTAATTAATTTAACATAAAACATGCTTCACTTTTACTTAATTTTTACATAAATTTAACTAAACCTTATCTAATTAATTTAATATAAATCTAACTTAACGTTAACTTAACTTTAACATGGCTTTAGCTTAACTTTGACATGGCTTTAACTTAACTTTAACATATCCTTAACTTAACTTAAACTAATTAATTAAATTGACTATAAGTCAAAGACACATAAGCATTAACTTAACTTCCACTTAACTTTAACTTAACTTTAAAATAACTTAGTTTTAACATATCTTTAACTTAGCTTTATCCTAACCTTTACTAAATAATATAATAACTTTAACTTAACTTTATCTTTATTGAAACTCAACTTGATTTTATCTTTCAAAAAACTTTAACTAACTTATTTTAATTTTAATTTAACTTTACTTTAACTTTACACCAATATGAATTTAACTTTTGGGATCTGGCTTCGGATTCGCTAACGGGATACGGATTCAAATCCCTTATCGGGATCCAGATTCGAATTCCTGATCAGGATCTGGCTTTGGATTGTTCATGAATTAAAAAATAGAATACAGAAGAAGTACAGAATAATCTCGTCGGAAGCAGTAGGCATTATCGCCGGAATGATCCCTATCGGCATCACTAAGGCGGAGGACAGCGAGTGCTACAGGCAGAGAGAAGCCGGAAGAGTACGGAAAGTCGTGAGAGCGGAGTCGTTGACTAAGTGGCAACAGGAGTGGGACCTCGAGTGGGACACGACGGAGAACGGTAGATGGACACATCAGTTGATACCGATTCTTTCGACCTGAGGCCACTGCTGCTTTAGGAAATACCTGCATCGGTTCGGACACGCAGCGTCACCCCTCAGTCCGGAGTGTGGCAATGTGGACGAAACGCCGGAGCATGTGGTCTTCAAATGTCCATGGTTCGAGGCAATGCGAAGGGAGATGCCCGTCCTCAACGTGGAGAATGTCGTACATGATATGTGTCGAGACGAGGGCATCAACTTCCCGTAGCTAATTCCAGCTCCACCACCATGTATCCAGAATTGCACTTAACTGGATCTGGATGAAAAAAATAAAATCAAAAATTATCAACATTGCCCTTGTTTCCGTTTGCATACAGTATATTTACCTTGAGAATATTCCCCTTGGCATGTTGTAGACCTCCTCGGTTCCGTTGGGAGAGAATTCACCCCGGTTTCGGTCGAAAAAAACCATCTCGGCGTAGAGTCCACTCCCAATCCATGAAAGCAGCCGGCTGAAATAAAATTTTACAAAAATTATCAAATTATATTGTTTTTTTTTTGTTTGCATTGAAAAGTTGTTTACTTACCTTAAGTATAAATGTTCTGGTTGACACGTTCCGTCTTTGGTCCCGTCGGAAGACCATTAACTCCCGAATATGGCCATCGGAGGCCAATTTCACGGCCCGAAAAAAAAAACAAACGACTTCCACGAACGAAATGAAAACATGGCTGACCACGTAATCAGCCGCCACGAACAAAATCACAAAAAAAAAACCAACTTCCATCCGCCATTTGGTCGCCCGGCGGATGAAATTACTCTAGCGGGGCGAGTCGCCTTTTGTCCGCATCCCGGACAAAGGGCGAACGATCAGTCTTCAAGTCGCTCAATGTCAAATGACGTCACTTTTTCGCCGGCAATTCGTGTGGGTAGGCTTTACATGAAACGTACATAAATTCTAGGTATGTGGAAATCACGTAAATTTCATTGGATAAATAAATGGGTGTAATTGGAATTTCTTTTAACATTCAGGTGGCATTGCATAGATTTTACGAGAGGCACGTAAAGTGAGAAAACCCTAATAAACAATAACCATAAACGAACGACAACCCAAATAATAGAACTATTCCACAAATGGTTTGGATGATACCCGGAACACGTCGTTAAGCAAAATAACCATAACAATTTTATTAGGGAATTGAAACCTTGCGTGATTTTTCACGTAGTATTAAAGTGTGGATTATTTTGAGTGCACCCAGATCGGTTAAAACTGAACCTACCCAAAAATGGGTAAACTGTGTTGTGAGTTACAAGTAAGAATAAAGGCTGGCTCACAATAGATACGTTTTCGGGTTTTTTGACAGTTTCTACCCAAATTTGGGAAGTTTGAAATAGCGTGTACCGCAAAAATTAAAACGTCATAAAATGGGTACAATTCAATATGTGATTAGGTAATTTTTAGATAGCGTGCATAGTCAGATTTGAGAATAATCAATAATAAAGGCTTAGTTTTCATTATCCAAATTGAGATGCACTAAAATCAATCTTTTTCCTTGACTGTTTTCTCAAACTAAGTAGACTTGATTAAAGGTAACAATCTAAAAAGAAACAAGTGCTGAAAATGTGAAAAAAAAATTAGCAGCAATACATAATATTCATGTAAATCTGAAGGGTATGTAGGTTGGCCTTTCCAATTAAACAAAATTTTCTTTTTCTATTTGTTTACTTTTTTTAGATAATTTTGAAAACAAAATCGAGAATGAGCATACGAAAGGCAAAAATGAATCCCATAGCCAGCAGCTCTGAGGAAGACGATAACAATACCAGACAGCTAGGCATCATGCATATGAGGAAGCTGTTCGGTGAATTCGTGCACTCGAAGGAAACCCTTATCGATAAGGATAAAGAATTCCGAATATACAATATGTTGCCTCTTTTCACCAAAATGTTCGATGCTTGCAGTCCGAAGGAGATGATAGATAAATTTCCTGACGTGTTACAATTTTGTTTACATGTATCGAAATTGATGGTGACAGAAATCAAAAGACGGTAAGTTATTTGATTCAAAGATTAATTGTTGATCATCGATTGTTATTCTTGTTATATTAGATTTAAAAGTAGGTACCGATCATAAGCGGTTATTGTAACTCACATAAAATCAGGTTTGTTAACGTATCTGCAATAACTTTCTAATAATGTTACTTCTCTTAATACCCCGTTCACATTACAGCGTATATCACGTGATATACGCTGTCTTGAAATGAGCACTCATACATCTAGTTTTCACTGGAAATCCTATGTATGAGTGCTCATTGCAAGACAGCCTATATTACGTGATATAGGCTGTAATGTGAACGGGGTATAAGGGAAGACGCATAAATGATGTAGCATTTTAGAGTGACCATCAATGTAGAAAAGTCCCGCTTGTAGCGGGCTTGACGAGTATAAGTCAAAAATCGATATCCGGTTCAATTTTGAGATCCAATTCTGACTTCTGGTTTATGAAAATGCCAAGAAAACACTACAATATGGGAATCTATATGGATAGAAATCCCTTTATACCTTTTGGAAAATTTCTATTGCTGATTATTTATAAAATGTATAAGCCAATTAATAAGCAGATGCTTTGCAAAAAAAGTTTATGAAGATCGTGTGTCAAATGAAACGCATAATTATCACATACTGTGCACTGCGCAGTCAATCAATTTAATTTTGCAATGGACATTTTAACCTAGGGGATGAGTACTTAAGTGGTTAGATTTTGATAAGTTCTTCAGTGGAAATGACACTGATGAAGACTGCACATTGTAGTCGAAATACGTATCTATCATGGATACCAAAATTAATTAAGTGGAAATTAATGGAAGATAGCCTTTTTTGCTGTTTTATTTAAGCATTCCGCTAACAACCCAATTTCATTACTTCACAATTGAAAATTGCTTGAAAATTTTCTCAAGTATAAAATTGATTTAGCTATTTCTCAGTTGATTCCTACCAAAAGCTCTGAGCCAGGAGTGCTCGAGCCCTCATGACTCTAATCATGTTTGTTTACGTACCTGTTCGCCAATCTTCCGTATACAAATATTCTTGGAACTGAAGAATCGCGGAATACATTAAAAAAGTACCAAATATTACCAAAATTTATAAAAAAAAATCAACATTCAAACCTCTCCGTATGCTGCCCATGCAAACAGTGACGTCACTATTTGTGTTTATAATATTTTTGGGTTACTTATGCAAATGCATTTGACGATCTGCATTTTTCTGTACCTCATTTCATGACAACAACAATGGTATAAATAACAGTAGGCGGATAGACGTTGCTATCCGCCTACTGTTATTTATATCATTGTCTGAACTTAAGAGATAATATAATACTAAAAAATGATTTATATTGCGGTTTTTTTAGTCCAATTTTTCACCATGACAACACAGGAAAAAAAATTATACACTTTAATTATTCTTAGATTTAGAGGAAAAAACTGTTGTTTTTAGATTTCTTGTTCCATTTTTTTAAATCAAAACGTATTTTTACGTTAAAAAACACAAACAATTTACAAAAAATAAAAAATAAATTATATAATATGGTTTAGGTACATTCACTTTGAAAGTCGCCTTTAAACATAGCGTGCTACATCTCGAAAACGGTGCCACTTAGAAATATTTTATGTCGGTGCTTTTTAATGTAAATTTGATGTTTTTTCATGATATCAAGTCGAAAGAAGAATTGAACCATGTTTTGGATATTTCTCTAAAAACTTCAGTTATTCAAAAAATCGTAACGTTTGTGTCCATCATTCTTCCGTCATGATCTATAGATGACATTTTTTATCTTCTAAAACATATAAAAAATTACAAAAAAAAATATGTTTTGAGAAAAATGATTACTAAAACTCTTATTTTTATATGTTGCATTTTTTTTGAATGTATATATATTTTTTAATTAGTGCCAGCCATTACCTACAACATTGCTCAAGGCACCAAACCGATCGAACAAGACATTTTGTAACAGCTTTCCTAATATAAGCTTAATGTTTCTTTAGGTCCGTTTAAGAAATAAGGCATGATTCAAAATTACGATTTGAAGATCGAAAATGGCATTTTTGGACAAAAGCAACGTTTCTGAAAAATTTTCATATAAATAAAAAAAAAACAATAATAAACGGATTAGCGAATTAATATGTAACTGCTCATAAACATTATATGCATATCGTTTTTTTTTTTATAAATAATCTGTCTTAGTCCTTCTATTACTAGCCTATTACACTAAAATAAAAAAATATCGAAAAATATTGATTCTTCTCAAATACTTAAATTTTAAAACAACAAATGATCTGGAAATGCAGCTTAATTAACTATAAGTTGTCTGAATATAACAAGATGGGCACATTAATAGAAAGTTTTTCTAGCTACAACTTTTTCGTGTCTATACGGTATTAAGGTTGTGTTCCATTTGGTGAATTTTCAAACCAATTGGACACTTCGAAAATAAATTATAATGTCCGATTTTCGAAAAGGTGTTTGTCAAAATTGATTCCTGGTCTGTCAGAAATAAGTCTGGTACAATAGCAGGCTTATTTGAAAATTAGCCATCTATCAAATTTAAGTGAAAACACATCAAATGGAACACAGTTTAACTTTTCATATATATACGGTATTATCGAAATCAATCAGGGAAGGCGTATTAAATTCTAAAGCATCTACAAAGTTGGCAGAAGCTATCCAGATTCTAATGAATCTTTGTGGGCATGAAAACTTTGCCTGGTTAAGCAACTTTACATACTTTTAATCTCCCTTTTTATTATTATCATGAAATTGAGTTAATGAATCAGGTGGAATGTAGAAAATTGCCTGAATATTAACTAAAAAGTTTGTATAAGTTAACGGGTTTTAGATACAAAAGATGTTTTCATTACGCATGAAAAATTTGTTTGACCTTTATGAGATACCTATCGTTCACGAAACGAAATCAATATTTTTTTTTTTTTTTTTTTTTTTTTCCTTTATTAACGAGACTTTCAGCCTTAGGCTGGTTCATCTCTTAACCTCCAGAGGGGAGGCTCTCAAAAAAGGTAGGGATAGATGTTCCAGATGGGAACTCCTGAAATCATATTTTTACAGAGTATTTTTAAACAGAGTTTTTTGTTTTGTTCCTGTCTCGTTTCAGTTAAGGGGTTTCTGATTCCGGTTGGTCCGTTTACGTTGCGTTAGGTCTGGTGTATAAAGGGTTTGTGTTCGTTCGGGTCGTGGTGATATTTTCGTTCCTTAGCTTTCCTTGTTCGTTACGGTTGGTCATGATAGGGATTTTAAGTGTTATATATGGTTGAAGAGTCCGGCTTCACGTAAAAAGGCGAGTAGGGCCGCTATTCTTGTTGGCTCATTACCTAGAGCATCGCGGATATTCTCAGGAATGTCGTAGCATGTTCTAGCTCCTTCATACTTTGGACAATGACAAATGAAGTGTTCCACAGTTTGCGGCGTGAGGCATAGATCGCATATCCTTCTAAAAGGCCCATCTCCCTTGTAGTTGTGGGAGATGTTTGTATGGCCAGTTCGGAGACGGGATATCACGACCTGCTCTCGGTGCAGTGATGGATCGTCCCATCTAGTAATATTCTCTTTTAATTTTCTAATAGCTGGTGTTCTAGCTGCTATCCAGTCGCGGCTCCAGGAATCCTCGATAATTTTGGTTACCCATTTTTTTAGATCTGGTCCTGGTACCTCTCGCGTATATTTGGCCATGTGCCGACCAGAGGCTGCTAGATGGTCCGCCTCTACATTCCCCCGAACACCACAGTGCCCTGGGATCCAAACGAATGTTGTGTTATTTGGTGCATGTTCCTGGATCGCCTGGATCCAGGGGTGTCTACTCGTTTCGGACTCAAGGGCAGCAACCACACTGGCGGAGTCGGTGAAGATGGCTATCGGTCGTTCATCGGAGGTGGTGGCAGCGATGAAAGCCGCGGCGGCTTCGGCGGAGAATATCGAACACTGGTCTGGCAGTCGATGACATTCGCTCAGATTGGGACCACAGATCCCGATCCCCACCTTCCCCTGAGCGACCGAGCCATCGGTGTATCTGATTGAGTATCCTTCGTATTTTCGTTTTTGAAGGTCTAGGACCGTTTGTGCCACTGCTAAAGGGTTGGAACCTGCTTTAAACTTATTTTTGATTGTAGGGTCGGTTCGAATTTTTGGCAGGCTCCAACCCCTGGCTCCACACCAGTGGACCCTGGACACCGGTGGGAGTACTTGGTTGGATGATTCTCTGAGGAGTTGGTTAGCCTCAACGAGGAGGAAACCTTCCTTCCTGCTACCGGACGTGTTTTCACGGTGGCTGATGGCTCGATGGCAGATTGTTTTGGTTATGTACCTGTTGAAGGGGAGCACTCCGCCCTCGATACAGGCAGCTATTCCAGGAGTACCTGGGAGGAGGCCCGATGATAATCGTAAGGCTTGCTGGCAGACGGGTGCAAGTTTTTCCACCAGCAGAGGCATTGCGAGGTAGGTTGCTTCAATCCCGTATGTTAGGCGTGAGTTTATGATAGCTTTTGCAACGTTCAGACGAGTCTGCCGGTTGGCATTTGGGTGGCGCCCAGCCAGAGTTTTCAGTAGGTTGATTCGCTGTTTACAACTGCTTTTAACCTCGTTGAAGTGCGGGCCGAATGTGAGGTGACGGTCGAAGCAGACTCCGAGGATTCGAATGGTTTTATGGAATGGGACCGGTTTCCCGTTGATGAGGATCTTGGTGCTCAAGACCTTGTGATTGGTCGAGCATACGTGTGTATACCCGCTTTTGCTTGCGGAGAGCTGAAATCCAGCTGACGAAGCCCAGGTTGATACGTAGGCGGTGGCTTGTATAAGTTTTCTTCGTAATGCTCTGACTGTTGCTCGGACCACCGTGAGAACGATATCATCAGCATATACAAATATAAGGACTCCTTTCGGCAACCGCGAGAAGACACCGTTCATCCTTATGAGAAATAGTGTAACCGCAATCACCGATCCCTGGGGTACCCCGGTTTCCTCGTTGAAGGTCTTGGAGTGGC